ATTTTGATACCAGACCTTGGGCTAATAAAATTTTTGGTATGTGTGGAATTTGAAGATATTCGGACTCTTACATCAGATTTTATAAGAGTTATAATTATTCAAAATTTTGACCCTTTGTGGGGCAGGTACCTGATGGAGTGGACCGATATTGTCCATTTTCGCACCTAACCTAGCGCTGATGGAAATATTAGGATTTGCAAATCTGGAGCAAAATTGTATTATTATTTTTTTGTTTTTTTGCAATAAATTATTTTCTTTGAAAATGTCTACCTTTTGTGGGGGAGATACCAGAAGGAGTGCACCATCTCGAACTCGATCTAAGTTTGAGAATAATATTACGATGTACTAAGTTTGGATCAAATCGAATATTCCCTTCGAGAGTTATCGGGTAAAAAAGGGTACCCTTAACTAGAACGTGTGTCATAAATACACAATATAATCAAAATCAGCTTGATATTTAGTAAATATCAATTAATCTGGATTTCTGCTACAACAACGGCATAAAATATTCGATTTGCTAAAAAAACAAGCAAATCAAAAATTGTGTTTAAATTGTTTCACTGCTTTTTTCTCTTCTAATTTTATTGCGTTTCTTTATGAAAGAAGAAAGAGTAAGTCACTCTCCTTTTGCCACTCTTTTATGCATTAATTCCTTTAATACGCTCTTGCCTCCCACCTTAAATCCATCAACAAAAGAGTGCACCTTTAACTAAAACGTGTGTCATAAATACCAAATATGACCCAAATCACTTTGACATTTTGCAAATGTTAATTAATTTGGATTTCTGCTTCAACACCGGCCATCAAATACTCGTTTTGAAAAAATTGCATTCAAATTGTTTCTATTCGTTTTTCTCTCCTAAGTTTCATTAGGTTCACCAGTGAGAGAAGGTGAAAGTGAAACGTTTGTCAAAAATACAAAATATGTCCCAAATCAGGTTGACATTTTGTAAATATTATTTAATTTCTGTTGCAATACCTGTCATCAAATACTTGTTTTGCAACAAAAAAAAAAAAAAAAAAAAAAAAAAAAAAAAAAAAAAAAAAACAAGCAAAGCATAAATTGCATTCAAATTGTTTTTCTTCTTAGTTTCATTGGGTTTACCGGTGTGAGGTGAAAAAAGAAAGAGAGAGTGAGTCACCCTCCTCTCACCACCCTTTGTTGCATATAATCCCTCTCTTTTTTCCCACTCTAGATCTATTAATAAAAGAGTGCACCTTTTACTAAAACGAGTGTCATAAATACCAAATATGAACCAAATCACGTTGACATTTTCCAAATGTTAATTAATTTGGATTTCTGCTACAACACCTGCCATCAAAAATTCGTCTTGCAAAAAAGCAAGCAAAACAACAATTGCATTCAAATTGTTTCTTTCCTTTTTTCTCTTCTAAGTTTCATTGGGTTCATGAATGAGAGAAGGATGAAATATGAAAGAGTGAGTGAATTCCTTCTCTTTTCACATCTCTTTTGTGCATAAATTCCACCTATACGCTCTTGCCTCCCACTCTAGATCTATTAATAAAGAGTGCACCTTAAACTACAACGTGTGCCATAAATACCAAATATGACCCAAATCACCTTGACATTTTGTAAATATTAATTAATTTGGATTTCTGCTACAACACCAGTCATCAAGTATTCGTTTTGCCAATAAAAATAACAAGAAAAAATTGCATTCAAATTCGTTCTCTTCTATTTTGAGTTTCGAAAAGCCTTAGCCCGATTTTATTACATTTTTCAAGTGTTTACTATTTGCATTTCGCTGTGTAATTTTTGCAGGCCGTCAAGGTGAAGTGGTGCCCACTTGAACCAATCAATTTCCATGGCATGTTAAAGACGGACGAAAAAAAAAACGAAAAACAGCAACAACGACGGCGAACTAACAAATATTTGTTTTACTTTGACATGTTTGCTTTAATTCATCATCATCATCATTGTCGTGGTCCGTCATCATCGTCATTATTACTTTTAAGGACGTTGTTGTTATTATTATTATTTTTTTTTTGTTAAATGTATAACTAACAAATTGCTGTGAACCATGATTACAAACTGCTGATGAATGAATGGTCGGCATACGACGTTAAGTGAGAACGTATAGCATACATTGTCGTAAGGCAAACAATTATAATTATGCCAGGCAAAGAGAAGTAGGTATATGCCTCTTGGCTCGGCTCACCTCGACTTGCAATTAAATTTTTTATGCATATCATTTAGCCATATTTAGTAGAAAAATCCACATTGCAGACACATTTAACATGCAACGGCAAACAACAACAGCAACACCAACAACATCAGCAACGACAGCGACACGAGCACATTGTTAACTATGTAGTTTACGTTATGCTAATGTAATGTTTACAGTTGTAGTTAAATGTTCTTTCGAAAGAGAGTGAAAAAACACACACACATTTACCCATACCAAATGCCTCCTTGTTTAACATATTAAGAAGGCACAGAAAACACACAAAATTATTCAAGAACTGGTCGGTGTGGTGACGACGACAGGAGTGTTGTATCCCCACACAAATAAAACATCGTTTTGCTGCTACCAAAAACACATAAAACAAAATGGCTATTAGTTAGTTTTGCAAAAGAGGTGAAGAAATGAAAGTGGAAGGCACAGAAAAAAAATGGTTATTCGGTTTTTTTTCAATTTAATTTCATATAATTCAAATTCTAGCCTCAGGCCGTCAATACCGAGACGTGGGTAACACGAAATGTGTATTAATAGGGGGTTTAAATGCGATTTAGGGATACAAGTGTTAAAAAAACACACCTTGTATCTAAAGGCGTTCCAAATATCAACAAGGCGTTCCAAATACGAAAATATGTTTGTTGTATTATATTAAGTCACTGGGTTACAAGAACTATGCTTTGTTGCAGAACCTGCTAGAATCTACTAGTTTTGCAATTTTTTTTCGATAGGGAAAATCGGTAATCGTAGCAAAAACTTTTAGATTTTTGCAGATCTGAAAAATACCACTAGTGATTTACAGTACGTTTACACATAAATGGATTAACTCACTGGATTTGGATTAAAATTGTCATATCCATTACTTATAATTCAAATAATACTTTTTAAAGCAGATTAACCCTACAAAAAGTTCTAAAGTAAACATGGTATTAGCCTTGCGTGTTTAGATACAGGGTAAGATGAAAAAACTGCAACCAACTTCAGGCTAAATTAAAAAAATTCAGATCAAATTTTTTATTACAACATAATCTCAAAGAAAGCGTTCCTAATTGAAAAAAAAAAAACGTTCCAAATAGTATTTTGCAGCATATTCTCGCAAAAAGCGTTCCAAATTCAATTTAAGCAGCGGTATTCTCATAGAAAAGCGTTCCCTATTGTTTCTAACAACATAATCTAACAGAAATGCGATCCATATTTTATTTAAATGGCAGAATTTCTCATATAAAAGCGTTTGTGTTGTTTATAACAACAAAATATAACATAAAAGCGTAAAAACGGCAAATGTCCCATAGAAAAGCGTTCCATATTTGTTTAACCAATATAATCTCCCAAGAAAAGGTTGGAAAACAAAAGCGTTCCATATTGTTTTAAACAATAAAATCTTAAAGAAAAACCTTCCATATTGTTTTTAAGAACATACTCTTACAGAAAGGCATTGCAAATTCAATTAAACGGGAGAATATTACATTGAAAAACGTTCCATATTATTTCAAATGACGGAATATCACAGAAAAGCGTTCCAAATTCCATTTTAAATGGCAAAGTGTCCCATAGGAAAGCGGCCCATATTGGTTTGACCAAAATAATCTCACAGAAAATAGTAAGAAAAGAAAAGCGTTCCATATTGTTTTAAACAATAAAATATTAAAGAAAAACGTTCCAAATTTAGTTATAATACAAGAGTTCCCATAAAAATGCGTTCCATATCGTTTTTAAGAACATAATCCTACAGAAATGCGTCCCAATTTCAATTATAGTTGCAGCATTTTCCGCATAAAAGTATTCCATATTGTTTTTAAGAACCTGATTTCGCGGAAAGCTTTCAAAATTCAATTTACATGGCATAAGTTAAATTCAAAAGTTCCTTATTATTTTTAACAATAAATTTGAATATATTTTATTTTTAATGTCATTGCCAATTAAAAACGTTCCATATTGTTTTTAATAACACATTCTTTCAGAAAAGTGTTCCAAATGCACGTTAAATGGCAGAAAAACAGAAAAGCGTTCCATATTGTTATTAACAACATAATCCCACAAAAAAAAGAACAAAAAAAAAACATTTCAAAGGCAAAAGTTTGGTGTCAATAGTAAATATGTATATAATATAATATTTCTGCCAACGTCGAACTATAGCCATGTAAACGTGCTATATATAATATGCGGAACATTCACATTAAAAAAATCCCAACCCTTTTGTAAGAACGCTATATTTGCTACGCTGTCTGATTTGTGTGAAGTCTGAGTCAAAAGCGCTCCTAACAGTGGTGCACCGTAAATATTGCTGTGCGACAAAAAAACGTGACATTGTACTGATTTTAAAACTGCAATGCAATTTATAGAGTATTGGCATTCTTTGGCTATCATATAACATATATTTAAGGTATTTGGATAGCACAGATTATTTTTCCTCTCTTTTTAGAAACTGAATTAAAGTTCGGAAGACAGGGATATTAAAATTGGGCGGAAATGTAGATAATATAACTATATAACTATAACTAATTGATAAGGCACCCTGAATGAATTTCTTATTACAATTTTTTAACAATAATCTGCATAATGCCTCCCGATTATCTGTATAAGAGTATATCCCCGACCCTGCCTCCTTTTAACAAGGAAAACTACATAAATTTTCTATCTAATTTAATATTTACTATTCAACATTCAATAATAACAACTTCCCCCTTTATTTTTCTCAACAAATAAAGAGTAATGGGAGAGCCATAAAAATGTCAAAACAATTCACCTGGGAGAGAGTGAAACTCCACAAAAAAGTAGATAAAAAACAACAACGAAACTTACCTGCAAATGCCAAATTTGCATTTCCTGTAAAATATTCTCCATATTGCTTTGACCCTTTGCCGTGGCTTTTGCGGTCGCCGCCACACTATCAAATGTCATGGTGGCGGCAACGCTGGAGGATATTGATGTGGATGTTGGTAGGCAGGAATTGTTGGTAGAATTATGATGATGATGATGAGCCGAGCTAGTGTTTGACGTTAACTTGCCGGCATAACAGGTGGTTGATGATGTGGTAAATGGCGTAACGTCGTCAGTCTTTGTTTCGTTTGAAGCCATTGTGCTCGGTTGTTGTTGCTGTTGCTGCTGATGATAGAGATCATATAAATCTTCACTTGATTTGCCACAACTGCGACATAATTCCTGAGAATTGAGAGTGGTCTTTTGGGCGTTGTTACTGATTTCCCGGTTATCGTTGTTTTTGCCGTGAATTATTTCCGAGGCTTCTGTTTCATTGGTGACGGCGTTAGATTCAGCAGCGGATGTTTTTGGCGTCCTTGTGGTTGTGGGTGCCACAGAGGCTGCCATATTCTTAGATTCTGTTTGGCTAGCTAACGCTTTTTGAGAGATTCTGTAAAAAAGAGAGGAGAGAGAAATATTTTATATTTAGAGAAGAGTTCTTACATTGAGTGAGTCAGAAACTAGTATAATATAGTTCTGGGCTTAGCAGGATATATTATTTGTTATTTTTTTTTTTGGTTCTCCAACCAAAAGTTACAGAAAGAAACCTTATATCCCTATCATATGCAATGCGACCCCCATATGAACATTGTATAAGATAAGAATACTGTCAAGTCATAATACAAAAAAGAAAGTGTGAACCCCCCTGGCATTTATGAAACACTCTCACACAGAGGCCGTTATGACAGAGATGGAAATGATCAATTGATAAACAAATGACTTTCTCTTGGCACATAAACTCTAATTCAGGAATGTTTGATGAGCACAAGCTATAAAGTATCAGTAGGTATTGCCGACAGATGTATATCCTTTATCCTTTATTTTATCCTTTATTTTATTTTTATTTATGCCCCGTTCGATTAATAAGTGGGGAGAGCGACCATCGGCTGTTATGGCGGCCCACACCATCACCATGGCAGGCGCTTGAGTTCTGGTGGCCAAGCAAAGGTGCACATTTTCAGCTGACCTGACCTCTTTGGCAAGTAAACACGATCATTTTGTTTGTTTACAAACTGCTGGACAACGAATGTTGTTTTCCCATCGGAGAGGGAGAGAAACCCAAATACGGCAGTTCAGCACTTTCGGCCAAGCGAAACAACTCTTTAGCTCTTTTCAGTCTATTTTCTGTTCTGTTGCGGTGTAAGTTCTTGCACTTTTTGGAATTTCAATGGCTTTACCCCGAGCTCATTTTTCAATATTTGCCCAATGGAATATTGCGATATGTTCAGGATACGAGCCATTTTTCGGCCACTCCCACGCGGGTTTCGATCAAGTCACTTCTTTACTTTTCGAACCATTTCTGCTGATGTTGCTGCTTTTCTTCTGTCCACTTCCTTGACGTAGGGGGGCTTCTCTACCCGTATCACGATCACGAGCGATGTTACGAGACACAAAAGATTTATTCACATTTAAATGCTGGAGTGCTCCACCGATAGCCACTTGTGATTTTCCAGCCAAATATAAAGAAATCACAATCACACTATCACGCTTGAATTCCATGACGAGTATAACTTTTTTCTTGAAAAATTCTCACTTAAATGCTTTTGCGCGATTGTAATGAGCTGTCACTGGAATAATTTTAACAGCTGTCGGATGAGTGACTTAGAAATGACAGTAGTCTGAAGTTGGTGGCAGTTTTTTTTTTTTTCATCTCACCCTGTACAAAACGGTCAGTTATATGAGATGGAAATCATGCAGTCCTCTTTTCTTACCATCTCGCATGGACGTTTTTTGCTCTCTCTCTCTCTCTATTTCTCTTGAATACCGTAATGATTAAATACATGCCATGTCCCGTGTGTCTTGTTAATTTCTTGACAATTTATTTTAAATTCTCTCAGTTTCAAAAAATAAAAAAAAAAAAAAAATAATAAAAATAAATTAAATAATCCTTGGAACACAATTTAAATATCCCCTTAACGACAAATCAATCAAACATGTCTACGAGCAATTTACACTGTTTTTATCAAGCATGCAACATGCATGAGAGTTTTCATCGAATAAAAAGGTCATCCATATGCGAGAGATAATGCTATGCAAATTTGGAATAAAATAAATTATTTTTTCGGATACTTATCGGCATTTATTTTAAATAGCCTTGGGGGAGATTTAGCATTCCTTCGATGAGATAATGATAACGAGGTAAAAGTTGGATAAAAGGGAAACAGGCAAAATTTTCTATAGATCTTCTAGTATGGGTTGGAGACTCTCCAGATGTAATTTAAGGCCGGAAATCAATTGATCAGAATCAACCTCCTAAAGATAGAGGCCATTTCTCTACCTTCAATGGACAAAAGGGTACAAAATCTTTTAATCCTTTATTTTTATCAAAAACCTCTTTTACAACCCTAAGGATGGGAATACTTAGGTTGACTTAGTTCGGAAATTACCCTAGGCTCCTTCGTTCATTTCCGAAGAAGCCAGCCAAATAAGCGCGTTATGTATCCCCACCTTAAAGGTGGAAGTACATAAAGAGTTTTTTTGACTGGCTTCTTGGTAAAAGAACAAAGCAGCCTAGGGGCGAAATCGAACTAAGTCAACCTAAGTATTCCCAACCTTGGGTTGTAAAGGATTAAACATAAAATTAGTACCCTTTTGTCCATTGAAGGCAGAGAAATGGCCCCTATCAACCTAAAACTCCTTTGTGCCTCAACGAAGAAGTCAGGCAGATGACTTAAGCCATCCAAAAAAAAAGTGTTTTATGTATTCTCACCTTAACTCATACCCTTTTCCACATCTCATTTCCTGTTTGAAGCGTGCTTCATCTTCGCTCGTGTTTCAAAAATAATTTAAAAAAAACGAACAAACCAAAACTAGTGCGGAACCTAAATTAAACACACAGTTTAACATAAATCTCATGTTGGTTTTACTAAATGGTTTTTAAAGCAAACGTTTTTTTCTCTTCTTTTCAAAGGCATGCCGCCGCTTTAACAGCCACCTTTGTTTTTTTTTGGCGAATCAGTTATCAAAAAGGAGACCAAGGGTATGGCAAATAATGAATAACAACGCAAAACTAGCAAATTATTATTTTGGTTTTTTCATTCGTTCGTTCATTCATTCATTTATTTTGTGGCGTGAAATAAGATTCATAAACAATTTGTTAATTTGAGTGTGCGCGTGGAATGCTTTAGTTTTGACAAGCGCATCAAATTTGTTAAATTTACTTTAAGATTTTTTTTGTTGAATTTCCAAAAAAAAAAAAAAAAAAAAACGCAAAATCAAATTCCCCGAAACCAAAAGAATTGCAACCAAATTTGAAACATGAAGCTCTCCTCAAAACAAAGAAGATATTGGTCAGCAAAAAATAAAACGGAATTGCGCCAACATTTTGCAGCAGCTCAGATTTCAACACGTTTTTTTGGTTTTCTTGGTTAAATAAAACCACCAGACAGTTTGTCTTCAATTTGAATTATAATTAATAAAATAATTTTCTTTATTTGAAGTTGTTAATGAATTTTTGCATTCCTTGGCATTTGAGAATTGTATTGTTTACAACAAAAAAAAAAATCTGATAGAAAATGAAGAGTTGCGATGATTTCCCAACATCGAAGGACCAAAATCATAAAAGAAATTAAACTTGGCATCACTTTTCTGCCTGGCAAATATCATAGAATAAGCAGAGCCACTGTGGAAAACTGACGCCGTTAGCCCTTTAATTAATATGACATCGACGGACAAAGAAGATTTGTGGTTTTTTTTTTCGTTTCAACGAAATCCACCCGAAACCAAAAGAATTGCAACCAAATTGGAAACATGAAGCTATCCTCAAAACAAAGAAAATATTGGTTAAATAAAACCACCAGACAGTTTGTCTTCAATTTGAATTACTAAATTAAATTTTTATTTAAAATTGTTGATGAAAATATTGTATTCCTTGGTATTTGACAATTGATTTTTTTTCCAAAAAGATCTTGAAATAAAAAAAAAATCTGAGTGAAAATGAAGAGTTGCCATGATTTCCCCAACATCGAAGGACCAAAATCATAAAAGAACCTAACTTGGCATCACTTTTCTTCCTGGCAAATGTCATATATTAGCCGGAGCCGGATAAAGCCGTCACATCAGTGGGCCGTGACGCGTATCGTCATTCATTCGGATATGGCCCTATTAAATTGAGTTCCTATTTATTGTACCATGTTATCAATTATTATGATTCATTGGCTAATATCATGTTCTTACTGGGTTTTGTTGGTCGTCGATTTAAGGTATAGCCTTGTTTCAATATTTCATTTCATTTCATTTATTTGACGTAAAATGTATAAAAATGTGTGTCAACACGTCAATCAAGCATACTTTTCTCTGAGAGACATGGCCTTAACAAAGTCTTAGTAGATTTGATCTCATTTGAATTTTGGTCCTTCGACCAGTATTTTTGAGACGAAATGAAATTTCTTATGTTGTTTCTTATTCATTTTTTGAAATTAAATTAAATTTCTTATGTCGCAGTTAGTCTGTCATTATTTTGGAAACATTTCTTTACGGAAACTTTTACAAAAAAAAAAAGAAAAAAAAACACATGCCGAATTATTTTAAATATTTAAGATCGCTTTTTGGAAGTTAAACAAATACAAATAGATTTATGGAATCAAGGAAATGCTCATCTAGGCTAATTGACTAATTGAATAACGCAAAGACGTATTGCGCTGTAATGTCAAGGGAAATTTTTCAAGAAAGAGATTATGTACATTTATTTACATATTTAAATTTGAAATAAGTTGAACTTCTCTCATATAAAACCACTTAATTATAATTTGTGTGAGACATACATTTTATTCCCCCCAAATCATATGTTTGACAACTCAACTTGATGTGTAAGCAGAGAGCTTTACTCAATTTACTTCAGTTATTGATTTATGGTAACGTAACGTAACGCAACGCAGACGTAATGTTGAAATGTGTTTAAAAACGTTCTTTTACCTCACACGTATACAAAAAAGAGAAGAGAATAAGGTCCCTATTAGTCTTAGAAATTGTATGAAATGCATAAACAATTGTATTATTTGGTGCTTCGAGAACAAAAGTTGAATTTGTTTAAAAAATCCACTAATTTTTTGAAAACAATATCAAGAAATTTATGGCCCTTCGTTGACAAAATATAATTTTTTTTACAAAAAGTCGTCATCATAGGTAGCAAAATTGTATTATGATAATTCAATTTGATCCTATTTGTCCAAAAAGTCCCCAAAATGGCACCAATTAGCCATGTTGAGATATTTGGTCCTTCGACTTTTCGCTACAGAGTTTTATTGACTTCACACTCTACCTTTCCCTTTTTTATTCCCATTTTTCTTCCGAAATATTTCCTAATTAGAAGTGCGAATTGTATGTAAAACATTTGACAGTCTATTTATTATGACATGTGACACTTCAACAGGCCATTAAAAGTGTGAGAAT